TGAACATTGAACCAAAAAAGGACAATAAAAATAATAGAAGAAAAAGAAGTTAAAGCAAGTTTCATGTTAAAACTCATCAGGAAATGCCATACACTGCAGTTCTTGATCTGTTTGCCCAAGTATTTAGAACTCAATGACAACGTCAAATTTAGTCTTAGTTAAAAGGTCTCCAAAGGTAAAAAGAAATATTAATTTTTTAGCGAATAAAGAGAATATAAATGAAAAACTGGGAAACAAAAGGAGTACATAATGAACAACAGAAAAAGGAAGATGAAACTTTATGCACAAGTTTGTTCGCAGAAGAGGACAGAAGAATGAGTTTGTTTGAATTAATGTGTTGTAAAACCAGAAAAAGAAATGAATAATTCACATTCTGTGAAACCAAAGCTTCAACGGTGGGGTAGTTATTCACAAATAGATGAGATAACAAATGAGATAAAGAAAATGAAAGATGAATTAAAAGCTACTAAATAATGGGAGGAGTAGAAAGGTAGTCTGAAAAAAATCAGGGATATATAGAGTATTTTGCAGATTCTAAGAGGCAAAAATAGAGATCAATCAAGTTCAAAGAGCAATCAAAAGACTCTAAATTAGGTGAGAGTATCTAATCCAACAATATCAGAGAGTAAGAAACTAGTAATGGTTATTATAATGGATAAAAAAGGTAGGTGTTCTTATCAAAGATGGACAACAGTATGGGTGGCACTAGCCATTGTGCTAATGCTCTAGAACAAAATAATAAGGAGAAGAATTTCCAAAATTTCCCTTTTGGAAATTCTAGAATTGTGATGCCAAGACCAAAGGTGAAATTACAAATCTTTGGTGGAAGTAATCCCATGAGTTAGATTAAAAAATACCAAAAGTACTTCAATCTATTCAGCATTCCAAAAGAAAAGAGATTAGAGATGAATTCAATATATTTAGCAAAAAAGCAAGCATATTATGATCATTTTCGAATTCAGTAAAAAGCAAGCATTTAATTTGAGTTAGCTTTCACAATTATCGTTTTCTAGAACTTAATTCCTTCGATTTTTTCCATGGCGAATATTATGGGAGTACAGGGAAATCAAAATTTATAATAACCAACAACAACTTCTATAAGAGAAACAGCAATTGAAGATAAAAGAACAATCTGAAAGTTATTCTTTAAAGGAAAAACAACTAACCATATTGGGGTTTATGCAAACAGTGAACGGCAACACTGTGTGAACCTAATTGCATTCCCTTCCATTTCGTAAACCCTAAAAGCTAGCAATGGCTAACTCTGGGTAATCACTCTCCTGAAAGCAATAGAAAAAAGAGATTAACATTGCATACAAATATACTCGAAAGCATGAAACACGAAGAACCCAGATAAGATATGAAAATTTTAAGATAAAACCAAAATGAAAATCAAGTAATCGAGATGTAGCTGGTGATTTTGGACCAAAAAAGCTTCAAAATTACAATCAAATCTAAACATATGAAGTCAACAAAGGATAAAAAAAATTGGGAAGAAATGATGGAACTTTACAGTGAGGGAAATAATAGGAAGAGAAGGCGATGAAGAAATAGATTTGAGAGAAGATATACTTCAAAATTTGAAGAGATACAGAGAGACGATGAAAGAAAAGGAGGAAGAATATATATAAAACAAGTACAGAGAGAGAGAGTGGCGTGTCTGAGAGGAGGCTGAAGTGCTTTTTTGAATTTTTAAAAACTTAGTATCACGCTAATTTAGTGGCGTTTTTGTACAAACGCCGCTAAATACTCGTGCTTTAGCGGCGTTTTAAGCACAAACGCCGCTAAATACTCGTGCTTTAGTGGCATTTTAAGCACAAACGTCGCTAAATACTCATACTTTCGTGGCGTTTTTTATATAAGTGCCGCGATGGAGTAATACTTTAGTGGTGTTTGTGCTTAAAACGTCACTAAAGTACGAGTCTTTAGCGGCGTTTATAGAAAAATGCCACTAAATCACGAGTATTTAGCGGCGTTTTTCGCTAAAGTACTACTCTATAGCGGCGTTTGTTTAAAAAACGCCGCTAAAGTATCATTTTGTGGCGTTTGGATTGTAAACGCCGCTATATATTTAAATTTTGTGGCGTTTACTCTCCAAACGCCGCTAAAAACGCCGCTACATAACAGTTTTGTTGTAGTGTGTGTGGTCATTAGAAATCGGATATACAACGAAACGAACATCGACAGTTCATTTGCGAAGGCAAGGCAAAGTAACTGCTCGATAGCGAGCGGCTCAGTGGACAACAACCTTGCACCCTTAGATGTGGAAACCCCAAATTCTTTTGATTTGAAATACTTCAAGAACCTCTTGAACAACAAGGGTCTGCTCCACTCGGATCAGATACTCTTAAATGGCGGATCCACCGATTCGTTGGTTAAAACATACAGTAAGAACGTGAAGGCATTTTATTCGGACTTTGTTACCGCAATGATGAAGATGGGAGATATAACGCTGCTCACCGGATCAAATGGTGAAATCAGGAAGAATTGCAGGAGGCCTAATTAGTTATCTATACCGTAATGTTGAAAGCCAAGCTTGATTTAATATTCAATCTCTGTGGCATAATATACATGGATAGAAATTGTGTAGAAGTCTTATGGATTATTGAGAAAGTTCATGAAGCATTATGATAAGATAAAATAATAAAAAGATAATATAAAATAAAATAATATACGAAATTGTGAGTTAAATAAGTTTAATAAAGTCGTGAGAGTTTGTGTAAACTAGCAGCTACTAGTATATTGTAAAAATATTTACACTTCTATTTTGTGTGGTAGTAATTATACTAATATTTGTTAGTTATAAACTCATATTGTGTGTTCATTATATGTTTTTAACAAATGGTATGAGAGTTTACTTCAATTCTACGTTATTAAAAAATAATAATTATGATTTAATTAAAAATTACGAGATTGGAAAACGAATTATGTTAATTGATGTATTCAAATAAATGTCATACTTGATCTATAAGATTGTTGAGATTTCATCGAAGAAAGATACGTCAAGCTTGAAAATATATCAGTAGAAGCAGTTTTAATTAGTGAAGATAAAAGGACAATGAAGGAAGATCATAAAAAAAATAAGAAGAAGCTTTTTTTATTTTTCGAAGAGTAGATGAATATATCTTTTAAAAAATTTGGATGCGAAAACCGCAAAACAAGTCTTCAAAACGTAGAAAAAGCTAAAACAATTATATCTACATCCACTTAGAACAATGTTTGAGATTTTGAAAACGAAAAGTTTAGAAATAATCAATGAGCACGTTAGTTGTGTGAAAGTTATAGTAAATAAAATGAAATGAAACCGAAAAATTCGTGATGAGGTCAAAATGATGAAAAATATTTTACAGTCGTTAACATGAAGATTTTACCATGTAGTTGTAGTTATTGAGGAATCAAACGATTTCTTTTATATATAGTTAAAAGTAAGTTGAACGTCAACAAAGGTGAAGTCAACAATAACTACAAACGAGACAGAAAAATTTATGGTGGATATCATGGAAGATACAAAACTAGATGAGAAACACATGGATATGACAATCAATCACATGGAAGACTCCAAACAAGTGAAAACTATCAGACACCTATCTATGGACAAGGTTTTAGAGGCAAAGACGAATTTCAATAAGAAAATTAATCTTAAGTACATTGTTATAATTGCAACAAATAAAGTCATTATAGTTAAAAGTGTAGATCATGTCTTAAGTATGAAGTCCTGCAACAACAATTGAAGAAAATGTAAAGAAAATTAAAAATTCAAGGAAAATATTTGATATTTTGAACATTGTGTCAGTTCACATGTATGGTCAAAAGGAGTTATTTATGGAGTTAAATAAAATAATTAATGGTCGAGTATATTCTAGGATGATTTGTACGTAGAAGTTAAAGACAAGTGAAAATTATATGATTACTCAAATGAATGGAGAAAGGAAATGTAAATCAAATGTTTATTATGTACCATCTTTGAAAGACAACGTCATCAATCTTTGATAACTTTAAAAAGTGATATAAAATTTATATAGAAAAAAAAACATTCACTTTTCATTAAAAATAAAAATAGAGAATTAATTACTCAAGTTGATATGACGCGAAATTATCTCTTTATTATTGAATTCGAATATATAAATTAAAAGATATAATTTGAAAGAAATTCTCTTACACATGAAACATCTTCCATCTTAAAAAAAATCATCTAAAATCATTCCCATAAATATACGAGTATCGAAAATCTACCTCTATTGTTACAATCATATATCCCATCACCTCTAAAGCTGAAATCTTATATCTTCTGTCAATATGTCATGACGTCGAGATACATTTATTGAACTTTCATAGTTGAGATGTCTTCTTCATAACCGATTGCCTTGGGCTGTCTCCATATTAACCGACTAAATGAGCTCAGATGTCTTTGCTATCTAAAGAAAATGAATATGCCTCCACCTCTAGACACCGTTGAGTTACTTTCGTCGAGATCGAAAAGCCTTCACCCCAAGCTTACGACTTATATAAACCATTCAAGAGGTTGGAGAGCCCCTGCTCTAAAAATAGGAGTGATTCCGTTGCGTTTTAACTAGTGTTGAGGTGTCCTTTGTCCTAGCGAGAGATATCACGACTCTTTTGTTTCTACCAAGATAAGATGTCTCAATTATACTAGCTTAATATAAAAAAGTTGAAGTTGCCTTCACTACACCTGTTATGTATTTTCATAGATTGAGTTGCTATATCTAAACCGATCGAAATAAGAAGCTTTTGGGTCATGACACAAGGCCCAACATGTGGACCTAAGTGAGTTGATCTTATATTAAGTTGTTCTATGCTTTTGGATATTGGTTAAGGGAATCGAGCCTTTTTAGCATGATTGCCATCGAGTCTAAGGCCTAAAGAACACATTTATAATAATAATTATTATCATTTAAAATTAAAATGGTTGATAATTCCACCTTTGGCCTAAAGAAGTCGATACCGAAATTTGGTGAAGTCCGAATAGTGTTGCTGCTAAAGCAGTTGACTTTACAAACAACGCAACACAAACACAACTCCAGAAAAACAAACTGAGCAGAAATGAACTCAACGCAGCTTCCACAGACGCGTGGGCGCGTGTTATCCCCATCCGAGATGACCAAATCCCGACCCGGCGCAGGAGATCTTGAATCTTCTTTAATCCAAATTTACCACTATCACCATCAGACTTCACTCCAGCTCCGGGATCAGGCCGGTCCGGTTATTTTCTCCCTTCCCCCCTGTTAATTTCAGTTTTGTGGTTCCAAATTTTTAATTAAGTAATTTATTAAAAATGAATTTGATTGGAGCAGAGAAAGCGAAGAAAGATGCGATTAGGAAGGCGGGGAGAGTGTCGGATTTGTTGGTGGAGGTCGTGAATGGCGGTGTGCAAGAGCCGTTTATAAACGAGAAGCGAATCGAGGCGAAAGTTCGTGCTTTGGCTTCAACCATTGCTTGTTTCATGAAGCAGACCGATCAATGGCTTGCTGCTTCTCACGACATTAACACTGCTGTTAAGGTTTTTTTTAGCCTTTTTTTTAATCGCACTCGTCCTTCACTCTTTTTACTTAATTACGACTGGTTTCTAGGAAATTGGAGACTTCGAGAACTGGATGAAGAGCATGGATTTTGATTGTAAGAGTATCAACGCGGCAATTCGCAACATCCATCAACGATGACATAAGAATACGAGTACGCGATTTTATTAATTCCTTACATTTCTTTTTCAAGTTAGCCTCAATCAAATCATAATGTACCCTCGCTACTACTACTGTTTGTTTCTGGGAATTAAATGGGATTCTGGTATTTACTTAGAGTACATTTGACGATGAAAGTTGAGCTTGGAAGTTAGAAGGAACCATAGATCATAAACGGTTTGATGCTGGTTCTCTTGGGGTATATGAGCATGGCTTAATATGTCTATGTGATTGCTTTGCAAAAAAAAAATGTTACTTCTATGTAATTCTGGGGTTCTCCGTTCTCAAATCCTATTTGGGAATGTGTTTTTAACGTCTGGAGCATCTTCCACAAGCGGGAAGAGCTTTTTTTCTCTTCTTTTCTTTGGATTATGTTAATTTATTCATGATGTTTTAGTAAAAGACTGGTACAGTAACATACTCTCCGCGTGCGTTTGGTTCACGGAATATAAGATTACCGGTCAGAATAAAATATTATCAGGGAATAGGATTATTAGGAATGTTATATTTTGTGTTTGGTTGATTTAGCGGGAATGTAAGATTACCGTATTTGGTTAAATGAATAAAAGATTATTGGAATGTATATTTGACTAAATTATCCTTATTATATTTGTTTTTTAACAAGTTGGAAAATATTTATATATTTTCTTTATAAAATTTAAATTCATAAAATTTATATAATTTTTTTTACAAAATTGAAAATATAAAAAAGTTTAATGAAATGGTAAAATTTTATTTTAACCCCTGAACTTCATATAAAATTTTAATTATAGATTTGTTTTGTAAATCTAAAATAATTTAAGGATAAATTTATAATTTAACATTCGTATAATTTTTATTATTCAATGAAAGAATAAGAATATTTAAAAAAATTAAGGGTATTTTAGTCCAAAATGTCGGTAATCCAACAGTACTTAAGGAAAGGGAGGTAATGACATTCCCGATAATATACCCAAAAAATCCACTATTGATCATGTAAAATTACTGGGAATGACATTCCCGGTCAACCAAACGGGGGAATGTGGATTTCATTCCCATGGGAATCTAACATTCCCCCAACCAAACACACCCTCAGGGTGACCTCAACCATACATGTAAAGTTACATAATAAATGGCTTGTGTTGGATAATCTTGGAAATTGCTACATCTTCTACTTGGACTTAGGGACTGTTTGTTTACTTCAGAATGTTTAAGCGTTGAATGATTCAAATGTTGAATGATTCAGAGGTTCTGTATGAATTAGCTCTGAATGTGACATGCTGTTTGATAATGGCTCTAAATCATTCGGAATGTATTTCTGTGCTGAATTATTCATCACTGTTTTGCTGAATCAGTCAGCACTGAATCATTCAAATGTGAGAAACAAACAGTCTGAATGCTGAATTCAATGTGAAATAATTATTGCTACATAATATCAATAACCTCGTACCTCTCTCTAAGATTAAAATAAATTACATATTTTGAGCACTTTGTTTATATTTATAGCTAAAGAATTGCTTGTTTTACTATCTTGAAGAAAATGAAGGATATTGCACCTACTATACGGATTGTGAAAATTGATCTCCATCCTTCTCCTTTTATCATGGGTCATTTGCTAACTTTGCAGGCAGGCAGACTCCAATTGAAGTCCATGCTTCTTCTGACAAGCTTTGCTTTCTTACTGAGAGTCCTCCGATTTCACTTGTTCGTTTGATAACAAAGAAAACTATACCATTAGATATTTCTCGAACTCCAGTGCTTGGTCCATTGCTGGTGGGTGTTCCCCCCTAAGATTAAGTCGCAGGAACAGTTTGCTTGTGGTATGTGCGTGTGTGGCAGTGATTTGCTCCAGCCAAGGTGGTGAGATGTAAAAAAGATCTCTAATGTTCATGTACCTTGCATCCAATTTCTCCTTGAAGATACTAATTTTTTTACCCATATTATTATTATTATTATTATTATTATTATTATTATTATTATTATTATTATTATTATTATTATATTATTATCATTATTATTATTATTAAATATATTAAATACATATATAAATAATTAATTACAGACCCAATTACAACTGGACCGGCCCAGTTACAAACAAACCAGAACCGGTCCAGACCAACCAGAAACCCTAAACATTTGGGGGTTTCAGTTAGGGTTTCTTAAACCCTAATCCCAGCCGCCTCAGCTTGTTGCCGTTGGATCTGGCAAGATCCAACGGTCCAGATAGCTCCAGATGGAAACCCTAGGGTCTGATACCCTAGGGCCACGCGGCCGCCGTTGCTGTTCTCGCCGCCTCCGTCGCTGCCACGTCCCAACCGAAGGCTCCAGAAGCTCCAACGCCAGCCGTCCACGCCATGGCTACGGGGTGAGTCACCACTGGTAGTCCGGTGACTCACCGAGACCCCCTCTTCGGACCGGTCCGATGGCCACACCGGTGGTGGCTATAAAAGCCACCACCCGAACCTGAAAAAAAAGGAGAGACAGAGACAAAAAAAAAAGAGGAACAGAGAGAAAGATACAGAGAAACAAGAGACAAAACCGAGAAAAAAAATATATACAAAATACTACCAACGATCTCAGCAGCAAAGAAACAGAAAAGAAAGAAAAAGGAAGGAAAGAAACTTACCGAGGAAGCCTCGACCACCGGATCTCGCCGGAACCTTCGAAACACCGAAGGTACTTTTGTAGATTCGCTCCGATTAGGAGCTTTTTAAAGAAAAAGAACACCGGAAACATCCTTAGGACATCCCGATCTATTTAATGGTGTAAAAAAATAATTTTTCGGCCACCGGATGCGGTGGCCGGCGGTGACGGTCACGGCGGCAGACGGTTGCCGTCCGGTGACCGGCTTCCCTCCGATGAGGGAAGCTAGAGAGAAGCCAGAGCTCTCTCTGCTTGAGAGAGAAAGAAAAAAAAAATGAAATGAAGCTGGCCCTTCGGCCCAGCCGGTTTTGACCTTATATAGGCCTTCCCGAACGACGTCGTTTCGGGAAGGACTATGCGCGTAATTAGATAATAGTTAAACCCCGTCCGCCGTCCTTCTAACTTGTAAACTTTACATTTTAGTCACTAAATCGAATTCATAATACTTTTAATTTGATCTCGAAATTTTAATTTTATTTATTTTAGTCCTTTATATTAAAATAATATATTTAGGATAAATAACAGATTTAACCCCTTAATTTTAAAAAATAATATTTTAATCCCTAGTTTATATTTTTAATTTATTTTATTATAATATCCGAATTTTAGATAATTTTATTTTAGTCACTAAATTATCAAAAAAAGAAAATAGCATGTTTAATCCCTGTAATTCTGATTAATTATGAATTAGGTTTTTCAATTTTAATTTCACTATATTTTAGTCATTTATTTTATGTATTTTTTATTGCTTTTAAATATAGTTAGAATTGTATACTTGTTTATATATAATAAATATAATATTATTTTAAATAAATTATTTTAATATTTAGTTTTCAATATCAAAGAAAAGGACAGTCTTAAACAACTGGATGTCCTATTCTGATATTTTAAAATTAAAATTAAACAATATTATTTAAATTAATATTTATCAATATCAAAGAAAAGAGCTGTCTTAAGGCACCTAGAAGTTCTTTTCTGATATTTTTAAATAAATAAATATTTTTTATATAATTTTGAAATAATAGGATTATAAATTAAATATATTTTTGAATTTTTAAATTTTAATAATAGAGACAATTTATAATTAAAAAGTACCAATTTTGGGCGTTGTAGGGGTGCTAATCCTTCCCTAAACGTAATCGACCACGAATCCCTTTTTATTATTAAAAAGAACGAATTTTTGGTTATAAACGCAGATCAGTTCATCTTTTAACTGATGTTTTCTTAAAAACTTGTTAAAATAATTTTTAGGTATTCGACCTACCTGAACCCAAAAGGCCGATGGCGACTCCCAAATTATTTTCAAAACTATTTATTCACTTCAATTTTCCCGCCAAATAAATATTTCGTGCCCGGACGAAAACCGGTTACGACAGCTTGGCGACTCCGCTGGGGATCGGTCAAACTTTTAAAAATCAATTATAAATTGTCTCTATTAATTAAAAATTAAAAATTCATATATTTAATTTTTAATTCTTTCTTGTCAAATTTTTTATTTGTTTATTACTTTTATAATATTTATATGTTTTATTTTATTTGCAAGTATTTTATTTCATTATTTATTTTTCTGTAAAAGGTTTGAACATTTCTCCTCACACACAACACTTGCATTGCATTACATAAAGCTCTATAATTGAGTTGTCCCTTTTAAGTGGGAGTGAAAGCGACGTCTTCGTGAGAATTTATTCTCCGTGTCAGACCTAGCAAGTAACTTTCGGGGTTCATATGCTCTATGTCTTCGTGAGAATTTATTCTCCGTGTCAGGCATAGAGAAATGTATCCCCTCGAATTGAACTCGATCCACTTTAGTCTGTGATGGACTAGGATTGAGGGTTAGCAGCCTAAGGGGGCACTAACATGGACAATTCGAGTACCTTTACTCCTAGATCTGAAACCCTGCATATAAAAAAACCTTAGAAACTCTTCTAATCCGAAGTCATGCCGAAATTTTGTCTAAAATAGGTGTACACACAGGAGAAATGAATTCTAAACTTTCTTGTTTATTTATTTTCGTTAATGATTAAATTACATGTATATTTAAATTATTTAAATTTAGAAAAGCATGTTTAAATAAAAATATTTATGTAAATGTTATTATTAAATTTCTTTATTATGTAAACTAATTTATTTTCTTTTTGTGTGTTCTTTATTTTTCTGTTTGCATTGCATCATACAGGATAAAAACATTGATCCTTGTGTTAATTGTCTCATTGGAAAGCCTTCATCTATGGATAAAAAGTGTTCAAATCAAGTAATTCTAAACTCAGAAGTAAGACAGTGGGCTGAGGACTTACAAAGACAAGAAGGAGACAGTCTGCAGGATGATTATGTATCTGACTTGGCCAGTTATGCTCCAGTTTCACTA